TATATTTAGGGGAAGGGGTCTCGGGACGTGCGAACCATGGGTAAGCCACCCATCAAATAGTAAACTTATGTAAATTAAGACAAAATGTATGTAAAATTTATTGTAGGTTTGTCAAAAATCCAGCCGTCCAGGTCCTGGGAAGATATGTTATTCCACATTGCTGAGAGTATATATGGGTATATTAAGATTGCTAGAAACATTCCAAAAACAAAAGAAATAATCGTGCGCCACCATGTGGCGCACGCCGTCCGTTATGGGTTAAAGGATTTGTAGCAGCTTTTTGCTTTCTTTCACTGGTAAACGTGGTACCATTCCTACTTTTCTTTAAGAGCGCAATTATTCGCTATTCAACCAACTATTCCGTTGCGGTTTTTGCCCTTGGAGCAGGGTACCACTTTGTTGATTTTTCTAAGGCCGGTTTCACACAATGCAATTCGAGCGGATCACTTGGCACGAGTCATGCGCCAGTGCTTCAAATGAGTGCCAGCGACTCGACAGTTGGAAAGTGGGGAGAGTACCACTTGTTCGCACGCCGCCATTGCCATCCTTCTACCATCATTTTCCCGGGCTAACGAAAACATCAGAAAACGTGTGCAAGGGCTGAGCCATTTTCCCACAGTGTCGGGTCGCTCGTATATCGTCTGGACTGCTAGCGGTCGCTTTAAAGGCAAAGTTCGGGCTCAGACCCACCTAAGAAGCCCTTACCATGGCTAGAAGTGCTGGGTACGCAAGTGCAAAGGTAGCGCCACCTTTCTACATCGAAACGCGTCACTAGGACCCTAGGCGCCATGGACTTCTAACAGACTCCACCAAACTTAACATGGTCCGCCCACCGTTCGATATCTTGTCTGCGTCGCCACGTTGATCTGCTATGCTCTCTCTTCTCGGACTTCTCTACCACTCTCCGCGCTCACATTATCTCTCTCCCTGCCTGTCTTTTGAACTTCTCCACAGCATGGAGCAAAATGCTCGTATTTCCTGTGTATTTCAGGATTTTCTTTCCTTTTTTCTCCACTGGCGGTCCACCTCCCATCCCTACTTTCACATTTGAGTGGAATCACAAAAATTGAAAAAAAAAACAATTCAATCCCGATTCTTGCCTTTAACTCGTTAGAAAGTTGCTGGATCTGCAAAGTTTGACATTGGTATCGGAGTCCTCTAATCCTTCAGCGATTTTCAGAACGGCGCCTTATGCTCTGCACCGCCTCCAAAGACCAAGGAGTTGGCTTCTTGAAGGCAAGAATCAAGACTACATTGATGGATCAAAAAGGAATAGGAGGTGTTGGACATGTTCTCGAGTTCAAGGTTCATATTTACTTGATTATTTTTGAAATAGTACCGAATTCGCGTAATCGAATACATGGGATAGAAGCTACATATTGTGTACACTAGAAATTGAAACTATTATTTAAAACTTGAAACTATATTTTCAATATCAGCACGGTACACTAGGGAACAGTTCGTACTGGATACCTCAGCCAAGGGGCTCATGGATCGTTGAGCATTTTCATGCTGGCTTGTTCGCCATGACAGCGAATGGAGGGCCAGAGTAAAAAAGCCGTCGAAAATGCTTGCAGAAAAGGTTCCAGCCGAGAGTTAAAGGCAAAGTTCGGGCTCAGACCCACCTAAGAAGCCCTTACCATGGCTAGAAGTGCTGGGCACGCAAGTGCAAAGGTAGCGCCACCTTTCTACATCGAAACCGTCACTAGGACCCTAGGCGCCATGGACTTCTAACAGACTCCACCAAACTTAACATGGTCCGCCCACCGTTCGATATCTTGTCTGCGTCGCTGCGTTGATCTGCTATGCTCTCTCTTCTCGGACTTCTCTACCACTCTCCGCGCTCACATTATCTCTCATCTCCCTGCCTGTCTTTTGAACATTCTCCACAGCATGAGCAAAATACTCATATTCCTACTCAGATAATGCTCCAGCAGAAACCACCGAGTTACGGGCCGCAGCAGTGTCGGCAGCATATGCTGCCGACACGCCCACTAGTCTCTGACTGGCTGGCTCGTGTCTGCACGCAGTAACCTTTGTGGTGGTAGCCAATCACGGACGAGTGGGCGTGTCGGCAGCATATGCTGCCGACACTGCTGCGGCCCGTAACTCGGTGGTTTCTGCTGGAGCATTATCTGAGTAGGTATTTCAGTTCGTTTTCTTTCCTGTTTTCTCCATTGGCGGTCACTCTCACCCTCGGCCACCTTTCACTGTGAGCGGAATCAATCCATCAATGTAGTCTTGATTCTTGCCTTCAAAGAAGCCAACTCCTTGGTCTTTGGAGGCGGTGCAGAGCATAAGGCGCCGTTCTGAAAATCGCTGAAGGATTAGAGAGACTCCGATACCAATGTCAAACTTTGCAGATCCAGCAACTTTCTAACGAGTTAAAGGCAAGAATCGGGACTGAATTGTTTTTTTTTTTCAATTTTTGTGAATCCACTCAAAACGGTGAAGAGGGTGACGTGGGAGGTGGATCCGCCAGAAGGAGGAAAAAGGGGAAGAAAATCCTGAAATACATAGGATATATGAGCATTTTGCTCCATGCTGTGGAGATGTTCAAAAGACAGGCAGGGAGATGAGATATGTGAGCGCGGAGAGTGGTAGAGAAGTCCGAAGAGAGAGCATAGCAGATCAACGTGGCGACGCAGACAAGATATCGAACGGTGGGCGGACCATGTTAAGTTTGGTGGAGTCTGTTAGAAGTCCATGGCGCCTAGGGTCCTAGTGACGCGTTTCGATGTAGAAAGGTGGCGCTACCTTTGCACTTGCGTACCCAGCACTTCTAGCCATGGTAAGGGCTTCTTAGGTGGGTCTGAGCCCGAACATTGCCTTCGAAGCGACCGCTAGCAGTCCAGACGATATACGAGCGACCCGACACTGTGGGAAAATGGCTCAGCCCTTGCACACGTTTTCTGATGTTTTCGTTAGCCCGGGAAAATGATGGTAGAAGGATGGCAATGGCGGCGTGCGAACAAGTGGTACTCTCCCCACTTTCCAAACTGTCGAGTCGCTGGCACTCATTTGAAGCACTGGCGCATGACTCGTGCCAAGTGTGATCCGCTCGAATTTGCATTGTGTGAAACCGGCCTTAAAAATCAACAAAGTCGGTACCCTGCTCTCCAAGGGCAAAAACCGCAACGGAATAGTTGGTTGAATAGCGAATAATTGCGCTCTTAAAGAAAAGTAGGAATGGTACCACGTTTACCAGTGAAAGAAAGCAAAAAGCTGCTACAAATCCTTTAACCCATAACGGACGGCATGCGCCACAGTCTTGGTTTCTTTTTTTTTTTTTTTTTTTTTTTTTTTTTTTTTTTTTTTTTTTTTTTTTTTTTTTTTTTTTTTTTTTTTTTTTTTTTTTTTTTTTTTTTTTTTTTTTTTGCGCACGATTATTTCCTTTTGTTTTTGGAATGTTTCTAGCAATCTTAATATACCCATATATACTCTCAGCAATGTGGAATAACATATCTTCCCAGGACCTGGACGGCTGGATTTTTGACAAACCTACAATAAATTTTACATACATTTTGTCTTAATTTACATAAGTTTACTATTTGATGGGTGGCTTACCCATGGTTCACATGTCCCGAGACCCCTTCCCCTAAATATAGCCACATCCTTGCTCGGGGTTTTGTTTCGCATTTTTCGAAAATGTCACCTACATCGAGCTCATATTCAATTATTTGAACCCTAGAGTTTTAGGCGCAAGATGGCGGCGTCAAGAACTGTGTCGTCAACGGAAATTCATTTTTTTAGGAGGTATGAGGACATCAACTACTGGTCAGCTTTCCCGGTTCTTAAACCCTGCTATCGCATAGCCCAACAATAAAACTGACCCTGGTGCCGCGGGCTGTGGCACATGGTGGTCGCACGCGAAATTACATGGGCCGCTTCGTTAATGGGTTATAAATACATGCATCGCTCGCAGTTTGCAGCGGTGTTTTCGAGCCCGCTTCGCAGGAAGTCTCATTGCGTTAGCGTTCTGTCGAATAGGAAATGTAATAAAAAGGGGGCAACCGATTGGTACCTGCAGGAGCGGTGCGCAAACTCCGCCCACATCTCTGGCGTCTGGCGTACAATAAAATCTCGAGGGTTTTCCTGCAGTTTTTTGCTTTCTTATTTCATCAGCGGACTGATATCCACAACTGCATCTAGTTCGCATGCGCAGAAATCTGTTCGAGTACTCAGTCGTGAAATGTGCCTTTAAAGCGAGGGATTACGATAAATTTGGACTGGGTTCATAGTGGAAGAGGAGATGCTGAATAATGCCCCAGTGGCGAAAAAAAGCAAAGAAATCCGTCCAGAAGGCGCAAAATGGGACCCCTTTCTTTGCCCGTTGACCTCCGATAATGGACGAGCTAGCAACCAATTAGGAGGTCGTTTGCACATGTTATGCTGATAGCCTCTATCATTTCAGCAAGCATCATGCTTTGATTGATCACGCATCCCATGAAAAGTTATAGGATACACTCTGGAAGTGGAATATCTCGTCACATTGGCAATCGAAGGGCGCTGCTGCTGGGGGCGGAGCACAGACCGTGGCGGGGCTCAGAAAGGAATGGCAAGCCTTGTACGCTGCAACTAGCGCACCTTTGACCACAAAAACGCAACATTTCGTTTCCTTGGGCCCCTGACTACTGCTTCCAATGGTGCATGTACTTCCACGCTGCATACGCACTTTATCGTAATCTCTCGCTTTAAGTCACAAATGTATTCCATAGTGTAGAAGACACGACGGTTTTGCCTGCATCGAGACTCGCTTTCAAATAGTGTTCTCAGCATCTGTTTACCTGCAATCTTCAGAGTTCTGCTCACAGTACCCTACTCACTCGGCTCGCCGCAGCTTCGCCGGATCACGTCTTTGTGATGGTGGACTCTGCGTCGCCGAGGTGGTCCACTTGGGACAAATTCACATATGGACTACATTATGTTTAACTGGAGTAATTCAGGGTGTCAAAATAAACGCTCATCGAAACGTACTCGTTGCATGTTCTAATTACTTTAAAGCCATGTTCACAAGCGATATGGTTGAAAGCCGCAAACGTATGTTCATGACTTTAATATATGCTTTTAGTTATGCCTCCTTGATTACGCATGTGATTATTATAGCAAGCGTATAATTTTAAGTTTTGCGGGCTTCTTTACAGAAGAAATAGAAATGGTGGACATGAAAGCCTCACGCTCGAGAGTCTCGTCAACTTCTGCTACTCTGGTACAATCAAGATCAGTGCCAGTAACGTACTGAGTGTTCTGCCAGCTGCTTGCCAACTTCAGTTGAACGAAATCCAGGTCAGGCTGTTGTATATTGTAAGTCCTGCCAGTTGAAAGGCAGAAGGGCACACAACAGATGCAAGGCACAACAGTGTGAGGAAAACAAGACATGGACATGATTGCCTATTAAAAACCCAGTGGGGTCGAGTTGGGTCAAAAAATAAGTTTACGTCTGAACTCTTGCTATGAGGTATCTGAGGCTCTGATCACGCGGATTTTCTGGCTGTCATTGGCTGCAATGGCTATCAAGCTTCGGGCCCTGATTTGGCGCCATGCTGGGCGTCTACAGGACGATTTGCATGCAAAGGGTCTGGGAGTGGGAGTACGTCTGCTAATAGGGGTTGATTTGGGGGGGGCCTTTGGCGATGTTCACGGAATTATGGAGACTTCGGTTTTTTTGCCGGTTCGTGGACTTGGTTTAACGGTCATTATCTCTTCTGGATTTGTCGTCTTTGCCCGTCGGATTTGGTTGGTGGTTATTAGGAAATTATGCGTAAGCAGCACGAATGGCAAAAACGAGTGTCATATTCGTGATCAGGGCCCCAAATAACCCCTATACAGAAGTTTATGGCGAATTTGGTGATAATCAGTTGTAGGCGCCAGCTGGCGCCAAATGGCCCAATTGTGGCCATTTGGCGCCAGGAGCCAAAAATGCGTGATCAGAACCCTCGATAACCCTCATAGCAAGAGTTTCAGCGAAAATTATTTTTTGACCCAACTCGACCCCCACTGGGGTTTTAATAGTGCAATAGATGATCGATTTGGGTCTTGGTTTCCTCAACCACTGAGATGTGCTTCAATCGTTGGTTGTTCTGCCTTCAACGCCCCACGGGCAGGACCTTACAATTACAACAGCCTGACCTGAATTTCGTTCAACTGAAGTTGGCAAGCAGCTGGCAGAATATTCAATACGTTACTGGCACTGATCTTGATTGTACCAGAGTAGCAGAAGTTGACGAGACTCTCGAGCGTTGAGGCTTTCATGTCCACCATTTCTATTTCTTCTGTAAAGAAGCCCACAAAACTTAAAATTATACGCTTGCTATAATAATCACATGCGTAATCAAGGAGGCATAACTAAAAGCATATATTAAAGTCATGAACATACGTTTGCGGCTTTCAACCATATCGCTTGTGAACATGGCTTTAAAGTAATTAGAACATGCAACGAGTACGTTTCGATGAGCGTTTATTTTGACCCTGAAATTACTCCTAGGTAAACATAATGTAGTCCATATGTGAATTTCCCAAGTGGACCACCTCGGCGACCAGGTCGACATCACAAGAAAGTGACAGTCCGCGAAGCTCGGCTGAAGCCGAGTGAGTAGAGGGTGTACTGTGAGCAGACTATGAAGATTGCGAAGAAACAATGACTTCCCTGGAACTATTTGAAAGCGAGTCTCGATGCAGGCAAAACCGTCGGTTTTACAACTATCGTATAATACATTTTGTGACTTAAAAGAGAGATTACGATAAAGTGCGTATGCAGCGTGGAAGTACATGCACCATTGGAAGCAGTAGTCAGGGGCCCAAGGAAACGAAATGTTGCGTTTTTGTGGTCAAAGGTGCGCTAGTTGCAGCGTACAAGGCTTGCCATTCCTTTCTGAGCCCCGCCACGGTCTGTGCTCCGCCCCCAGCAGCAGCGCCCTTCGATTGCCAATGTGACGAGATATTCCACTTCCAGAGTGTATCCTATAACTTTTCATGGGATGCGTGATCAATCAAAGCATGATGCTTGCTGAAATGATAGAGGCTATCAGCATAACATGTGCAAACGACCTCCTAATTGGTTGCTAGCTCGTCCATTATCGGAGGTCAACGGGCAAAGAAAGGGGTCCCATTTTGCGCCTTCTTGACGGATTTCTTTGCTTTTTTCGCCACTGAGGGCATTATTCAGCATCTCCACTTCCACTATGAACCCAGTCCAAATTTATCGTAATCCCTCGCTTTAAGGCACATTTCACGACTGAGTACTCGAACAGATTTCTGCGCATGCGAACTAGATGCAGTTGTGGATATCAGTCCGCCGATGAAATAAGAAAGCAAAAAACTGCAGGAAAACTCTCGAGATTTTATTGTACGCCAGACGCCAGAGATGTGGGCGGAGTTTGCGCACCGCTCCTGCAGGTACCAATCGGTTTGCTCCCCCTTTTTATTACATTTACCTATTGGACAGACGGCTAGACCAATGGACTTCCTCGAATGGCGAGGCTCGGAACACCGACTCAAACTGCCGGCAGACAGAGTGTTTTTAACCCATAACGGACGGCCAGTGTATTTTTCGCGTGCGCCACCATGTGGCGCACGCCGCCACCCAGGGTAGGGTTTATGTAGGCTTATGTGAACAGCAGGGGTAAGACGGGGCTAAAGTAGGTGTCGGAGTCTCATCATCCAAAAAAAGAGATTTCCGTTGACGACAAGTTCGTAACCCGCCTTTCCGCTCTAAAACTAGGGTGCAAAGAATGAATGGAAGCTGTAGGTGACATTATCGAAAAATGCGAAACAACAACCCGAGCAAGGATGTGGCTTCGCTGGCCGCGACGCTACCGTGGACGCTAGCGAATCGCTTATTTGCGAAGTCTGGCATCGACCTTACGCGCTGTCGCCGGCTGACTATGACCGCATTTAGCGATGGGAACCTTAGAATGGTGAAGACAACTTTATTATGAACCAACCTAAGTTATGGGTGAAATCGATTTACTGAATCTTCAGGTCATTCATTCGCAAATGGACACTACCGGAAACAGTGAATCTTGAAGCTATCCGTACTCAACTCAGCGATGCTGGCCATCTATCCATCGAGGCACCGAAAGTAACCGCGACAAGCACCCAGCGACGCACGATCCCGATTGAGAGAGCCCCTTCCCAGTGAAGAAATCTCGTCGAATCGAAGACATTGAGATGTTTCTTTTCCTCTGTATGGGGTAGTGAATCCCCAGATGGGCAACTTTCATGGGCAACACTTTGATAGTAACCTGTTCACTCTTACTCTGGACTGTCTATTTGTAAGCTCTGTTTCCCGCAGGATGCTTGTCATATATGCGTACTTTAGTGGCCTAAGTAGCAAAGCTACAGCCGCCTCCAAAAAATCAATGTTTTTTTATGATTTTGGTGCTGATCGATGGGTACCCGACAGGAGGCCCGTCGCGCGGCAAGAAGGCAGAGTCACCGGACGAGTCGCAGCGCGTGATGTGCGATGTAGGACGTACAGGCGCATTCTTTTTAACACGACGCGAAATCACTACAGTGTGCGCTGAGTCGTCGGCTGAACAAGATTATACATATTGTTCCCTTTGGGCGCTCGAATACCGTAACCCGCGGAGGCGCCGTAGCGCAGCTGCAAGCCTCCAATGTGCAACGCTAGCATTACGGCAGCGGTACGCACGGAAAACTGATGACACGACAAATTTGCGCGTGCGGTAGGGTGCTTGTTGTGCGCCTGCACCAATAACATCGAACCTAACGGCGAATTTTTCGCGTGTTGGGTTACGGTACGCAAGCGCCCAAAGGGAACATTATAATCTACAGTCAGCAGACTCGGCCTTCTTGTCGCGCGACGGGCCTCCTGTCTGGCACCCCTGATCGGTACCACATATGCTACTAGGTTCGCATTTACGACACGTGTTGCCGCGGGAAAGCTTAAGCTATTCAATGATATTTGTCTGCTTCGCTTATATAATAATTAGAGTGTGTAGATTTCAGTATTTATTGTTTGATAAACTCTCTATGACGGCTTCTAGTTTGATTTGATGTCTTAGTTGGGGATTGATTTCCAATTAAAGTACTGCAATGTTAAGTGGTAATTCGGAGGTTAATAGCCACTACCAGTTCCAAAGTTTCCTTAATCTGTTGCCGGCTTTCTGAACTCGGAGAACAGCTACAAACGTTTAGCGCAAGAGGTTAAAGACAAGCCTCAGGACAAACTGCTGTGTAAGAGCGCTTCGTGGTCCGTTTAAGGACAACTGAAGAAGGGTGAACTCAAACAAAAAGGAAAAAGTTTCGCGCTAAAAAGTGACGAGCTAAAGCAACACACCACGAACACAGAATGTAATGAAATTGAAATTATTGATCGAAGGACGCCTACGTGCGCCAAGCGTGTTGACGCACCTCGCGGTGTCCGCAACATCCGCAACGGCGCGGAGTATGAAGGCAGCTCGAAGCCGCAATAACGCCAGGCTAGCATTCATTTGAACACTCCTTTCACTTCTTCAATACCTTCGTCCTCTTCATGAAGTTCCGTTTATCGCAATGTTCGTTTTTAGTTGATTAAGACTTTGTCATATTTCATAGCACGTTGATATTTTAGATACTAACTACTTTTTGCATGAGTATGTCGGACAATCTGAGCACGTTCTTTGTTTTTAGAATTTATGGATTAGTACAAGAAAGGAGTGTTTGGGGGAGGGGGGCGCGAGCTATGGCTTTTTAATCTGAGACCACCGTCTCTGGCTAAAGGGGAGTGGAAAAGACTGCGCTGTGTGGGGCTTCTATAGAAATGCGCTCAGTGGTTAGTGGAATATCTGCATCCATAGCTCAGTTGTTGTGGAATATTTACAAAATAGCTTTTTTGAGACATTATGAGCACTAATGTCATCTCTCGTCTGCTTGGCTTTGCTCTGTGGCTGGCTCTTCTCTTGCCGCGGCCTGCATGCTTTCATTTGGTTAAAGGCAAGCAGTTTCAGGGAGGGTCCGAAAATTTCAATGCCACTACTACTGAGGGATACACGAGCCCTAGTGAAGAACATATGCAGTGGAAATAATAAACGAACTTACCTCAGAAACTCAAAAACAGGGGTGGAAAGTCCCTCAAACATGGGTGTTCTTGGGGATTTCCCCAATCCCGCCCCCTTGCCGGCCGTCATTGGACGCGTCGGCAATCGTGCTCGTTTTGGGACCACAGGGAAAATTGATTGAAAAATGGAGCGCGTTTACAGCGGGCACGTTCAGACAACTCGTCGTGATCAGACATGCGTCTTATATTGCGTGAGCGGATAGAGGGAGAGTACTGTTTGAACACCCTCCCACGATTCTTTTCGTTTTATCATTACATGTATTCGTCTGTGCTTTTCTACTGAAAGACTTATTAATTGGTAGACGTGTGTTTTGCTGTCCCGGAAACAAGTTCTGATGTTGCATCTATAAGCAATGCCGTAATAACATTGAGGAGACTTAGTGTTGAATGATTTTGAAGAATGTTTTCACGCCGGTCCTGTTATTTATTATTTTTTCGTGTAAGCAGTGGCATCATGTTTTAGTGTGAGGAGCGGGTTGCTTAAACACGGTTCGCTTACAGAGACCAGCATAAATCTATACGAGGCATGCCAATTCTGGGTATTTCCATTTCACGTGAGGTGCAATGCAATACAGACCATTGATCGATGGGGTCAGAATGATGCATCGTATGATGTAATTGGGATACGTATTTCGACTGATGACTTTCATGAATCTTGGCGATCGAAGCGTCGATAGTATTGGAAGACAGTACGACATTCTGTGATGCCACGTGGCTGATGAAATCAACAAGAGTTCTTTATAGATCTGTTTCGATAGGTCACGCATGTAGCTAGTCTGTTGTTGATGCAAGATAGAAATTGCACCAAGACAACAAGTTAGAACCAGTAATATAGAACAGTTAGGTCGAAGAAGTATATGAGGTGCATTTGTTGGTGCAACTGGTCGTGCGACGATGAACAAAAAATTCAGCGGTCTCGGTGAGTGTAGTCTCAGTTATTCACGAAGAGTTGAAGTGAAGCTCGATGGTCGTGATATGAATTATAGAAGGCACAGCGCAGCAAACGGACAGCGTTTTTTATGGAAAGGTAAGGTGGAGTTGAAAGTGTACGTTTAGAGTTTGCCCGAATCAGCAAAGTTGTGGAGATTATGAGTCTCATCCAGTAAAGAGGGGGGAGGTAGGGAGGGTACGTGGTGTTACAGTTCATATCTCCTAGATGAATTCATTTTTGGCAGGTCAAGAGGTCTCTGGGGGGGAAAAGAGTTACGTGAAATTGCTCACACTTCCCGGAGCTACTTCTGGCTGCAAATTGGGTTCCTGTAGGGGGCAGACAAATGAACCATGCTTCCGCCTCCTAATGGATGAGGGACGGAAGTGATTTAGTTGTCTCGGATAACGTTGTATTCGTACGTTCGGCGAATTGGAACGTGGCGCTTACTGCCAGACCTTGCGACGCGGTGGCGCGCTGAAAAAAGCCGTAACGCCCCCAAGGTGCTGGGGCATGTCATTTTAGGCGATGTCATTAGTTTCGGGGGAGTGAGCAGGATTCGCAAGTCTGACGTCGGCCTTAGCGCGCAGGCGGCGGCAAACTCTGAGCCACCTAGTCTACGTTCATATTCGTCGGACGACGCTGTGGAATAGGACTCACTCAAAAGAGAAGGAAGATTGCGAGAGAGGGAAGGCAGGGAAGTCACATGGTAGGTCTCTCCATTAGGCCGATGCAAGTTTTTGCGAACTGAGCCAGTCCGACTAGGGTCCGCTCGGTTCAGTTATTACGAGCAACATCGCGGAGGAGTCATAGAACCATCCGTTTCAGGACTAAGCTTTTGAAGAGGAGAGGAACTCCGGTGTACGGAAGCAATTTTCGTATTCTCCGGAGTTCGTCCCTGCTGTTTAGGCTTAGTCCTAGATGACTTTTCTCAGAGTGCCCCCCGAGCCACATTGCGCCAATTTGACTATTTAAGAAATAATTGTGAGATTCAAAATATTTTATAGAAGCTCCAAAGTTTTACCAATATCGCAGCCAATGTCCAGCACGATCCTAATTGGTTAGTGACCGAAGAAATCTCAACAAAATCAACAAAATTAACTGCGCGATTTTCTGGAATGCGCCATGCATCAGATTTCCAGTCAGAATCGCAAGGCATTCCAATGTGCAATTGGCGCGTGTTATAATGAAAGGGAAAGTGTTATAAGGAAAGTGTTTGGCATCCAGCCGATTTTAAAAAAGATCACGGCCCTTCCTTTTCACCCGCGAAAGAGTTGGTTGTCTTCATGAAATGTTCCCTGAACTTCCTAAAAAAAGGTGCTAATTCTTAGAGAATGTTCTCCTTCCAAATGCCAAAAATACGCGCATTAGCCGTAGTTTTCTGTCTGCTGAGGGGTAAGAGGCTTCCTCACAGGCAGGATGTGACCCTACACACTATGCAAGAGGTAACGTCTTGCTGTCTGCCTATGTAGATGGCGTTTTAGTTTGTCACATTGTCGTATTTAGAAAGGACTTTTGTGAGAGGCTGGAGTGATAATCCTGCCGCTACTGTTTCACAAGAATGCTGGGTTGTGAACAAAACTTTCGCCCCAGGCGGGACTAGAACCCGCACCTCTCGCTTTCCGGGCAAGTGCGCTACCAGTTACGCTACCGGGGACCATTTCATCTTGTGAAACATTCGCAAGGCGAACTGCGGCCAAAAACAGCAGTTAACAAACAAAAACAAACCTGCCGCTACTCTTATATTGGTATTTGAAAACTAATCGCTCTGGTGAAGATCTATGAGTCATCCCGTCTACCACTCGACACCGACACTCATAGTTTTTTTTTCGGTTTCCTCCTCTCAAAAGAACGGGGATTGAGGTTTTGAATGATGGTGGGGTATTTTCCATGTCTCATGCTCAGCCTTGAATTGCTTTCAGTTCAATAAGCCCTGGAGGTGGTTGAAGAATCAGATCTGTGCGGGGCGAGACTATGGCCACAGTTCATAGATGTTAGGGGTATCCAAGCAGCCCCTCCTCTACAGTCCCGCCTGGGTCGCCCTCGGTGTATAATGTTGGGGATATTGGGCTTACCATTAGATGGAAGTTGATCACCACCATCAGTCCAAAAGTGAAGAGTTGACGTGTGTTGGAGCTCCCTGAATGTTCCCGTAGAAACCACCTCATCGACTTAGATCACTGGCTTTTGAGCCAAATCAAGAGCGAGAAAGAAGCTTCGGGTTGATGGGCTATCGAGTTTTTCTAAAAATGTTTGAATAATGATCAAATCACAGGAATCGCTAAAATGGCCAAAATCGCATAATCGGAGACCTACCACACAAGAAAGATAACAAATACACACTTTCCTGAGTAAAAGGAGTTCTCGTGGGACCGTTTGACATGGTGCCATGTCACACTCGCGCGCGGTCAAAATAATGCGCGCGGTCCCACACGCCAGACAGCGAAAAATAGCGCGGTCGTCAACGTGTTAACACGTTGACGACATCGCGCGTTTTGGCATTTTTGGCCGCGTGGGACCAGAGCGGTTCTGCGAGCGCCGCCGCCTCACAACAAATCTGTGGATTTTGAGCTTTAAATACGCAATACTTCGATGCGACAAAATGTTTTCACTGATATTCGGTGTGTCAAACTTATTGGAAGGTACACATGTGAAAGTGCGGTCGAATGATGTGTTACAGCATTGAAAAGGCAAGTTTCACTTACTTTTGCTTTAGTGATTTCAAAATTATTTTGGACGTGGTTGTTTCGGTAAAAACACATATCTTGCCACACGAGTAGCTTTGTACTCACTTCTAATATTCTTTTTTATCTACATGTTCGTGTTAATGAAGAGAAAATGAGGAATGAACTGAACGGATATTTTCGTCCGGTCCGAAAAACCTCTGCCAAACTAAAGAATATTTGGTCATTCTATAAGCCGCGTGGTTCTTGGTTATGTTGTGGTATGGCCTAAAAAATGAACACAAAAAACCTGGGAAGAAATGGCGCGTTCAAGAAAAAACTGAATGTAAAGGGTGTGGCAACTATAGTTGCCACAATGTCCATTGCGGCGTGCAAAACGCGGCAAACCTAGTTGCCGCGCTGTCGTCAAGGTGTTAAATTGAGGAGGGATGAGGGAGCGGTGAAAGCTTCCACCTTTCCAGAGCAATGGAGCACCACTTCTTCGGACCAATGAAAAGTCGTAATGGTCCAAGAGTGGCCCGATCTGCGCACTCTACGAGGGATTGCTACGCTGTTCGCCTAGGCTGATCTAGTGTGATTACCGAATTAGAATATTAGGATGAGTAATTGGCCACAGCAATCAAGTTAAGGGCGCAGTAGATGAAAGAAAAAATTGAGACCGTTTTTGATGATTTCCAGTTTCATATTCCTTGATCTTTCATATCCTCATTTGATTCTACTCCATTCATATTTTGAGTTTTTTTTTTTCTGATCAGCCCCAATAACTCTTTTCCCTTCTTATTTACTTGCCATTTTTTACATGCAGAAACGCAGTTGTCACTTTTGCTAAGTCGATGACTGTCTTTACTGGAATGTTACATTTCAATGGGTTATTGACTAATTTCGGACATTGGCTTCAATAAAAAGCCGGAATTATCCAGGCGGAGGTAGCGCAGTGGCTAGAGGGTGCCAGACCCACATCGCTGGTTGGAATTCACCCAGCCAAACAACCAGCCATCCTTCTGTCGGTCGGACTAGTACCAGATCGTTGAGAGAACATTTCTTCACTCCATTATTAATGTGCTGATCTGGAGCGCATTCAAATGTCTTCCAAATTTCGGATAGAAGTCGAGTGCGTGGCTTATCGCGAAAGGATTAGCAAACATAATCCTCATTATTCTTTTCAGATCAAGTGAGTGCGCTCTAGTGCATGCGTCAACGTTAAAAGTACACTCCACGCGTAAGAAAAAACATGCTCCGAAAATTGCCACAGTGCAACGCCGCGATCGATGCTATGCGATGTGTTAGTTGTTCAGCGGTATTCGCGTGCAGAGAGGCATTTTTCAGCATTCTCAGTGCCTGTCCTGAAAAGATGTCCTGTTGCCTCGTTTTCTAGATCTTTCGAGCCTAGCATAACTTTGCTCAGATCGAACTCAGTGAATACTACTTCATTCCAAGGATAAACTGGACCTGGAAAGCCCATGAGCCTGTTTCCTCAATAAATTTGAGCGGCGCAGATGTGGCTCGGGGGGGGGGAGGCGGAACCCGCCACCCGCGTCAAATAACAGAAACGCCTCGTTACCGTCCATTCATACATTAAATGTAGGCCCTTTATCAGGACATTGGGAAAGGCAGAGAATGGGGGAGGAGTGAACCCGGCCCCAGGTAGTACGGGTTTCGACGGCCTCGTCCATTCTAGGATATGGCTGTGACACCATTGCATAACCCATAAGATAACTGGATTGCTCTGCCTTTTCACCGTTGTTTTAAATACTGCTATTTTATTTTACCTCTCATTATTCCTAGGAGAGTAACGTTTCATGAAGTTAAAGCGATAGCGAGCTGACCGGTGCTTTTTAGAATGCGCCACGCACTCGACTCTTTTCACCGACCTCATTGTTGGGTTATCGGCAAAACACTACAAGCGCAAGTAGGCAACAAATCAAGAATGAGTCATTGTTTTTATGCACTCTATATCGCCAATATACGTACGATCTCAAATAAGCCTATCCAAAAAGGCATGTGACTTGGTTGATCCAGGAGAAATCCGATACAAGGGCCGTGGTGATGATAACAGCGCTACTCGCCACAACTCCATTTCCGCATGTTTTTTTTTGGAATAGCAGTAATGCTAGGTAGTCAGTTTCCAGCTTTCTCTGAAATTAGCCTTGAAAAATACATTCTTATTTTGTTATTCATTTTTCAGTTTGGATCTCCTTCAGTAGCGCTATGTAGATGTGTACAGTCATATTTGAAGTTTGAATAAAGTAGTCACCATTGATCACTTCCTTTGAAATACGCCACGCATTCAACTTCTGCTTAACACGTTGACGACCGTGTGGTATGATGTCATACCACACTCTTTCGGCCACGTGGGACCGTGTGACATGATGTCATGTCACAGTCTTTTTTAAGCTGGTTTTCAAACATTTTAGGTAACTTATTTACGTGATGTATGCGCCATACTTAGGCATTGTTACAAAAGGCGTGGTCC